TAATCCACCCAACAATCCTGTATGGTAGTGAATGCTGGTCATGCACGCGAAACAAAGAATGTAAAATTGTGCATGAAAAGAAGCTATGGTGGGCTTTAAGTATGACAACGCTAGACCACTACTGCAATACAGAGTGCTAGCTAGAATGAATTTTGCTCACAACTGGACTAAGAGCACCTGAAGACCGAAGATACGACGGATGAATAGGTAAAGGTGTAGCACAGCGGTCGTAATCTTGGAATAGAAAATCGCGGTAATTGAATGCTCTTGATTGATGAACGGGGTACTAACGTGAATGACACGAGAAAAGTTGTTACGAAACTCATTGTACAGCGGTAAGGAAGATTTTTTAAGAAATAGTCAAAAGACTTCCAACATCAGCTTTTTTACAAAAAAAATAATGGAGTTTGTTTATGGGACTTCAATCACGATCATGTGCTTTTTATTAGATTATTGGTGGTAGGCAAATCTATCTCTCATCTTTGAAAGTTCATGCATTTATTAAGATGGACTCTGAAGCAAATTTTGTAAATAAAAGATTTGGGTACATTTATTACTGATATGACCAAGCAAGCTTTCATTTGTTTCACGTCGTTTGCTTCTGGTTATCTTTGAATTTTTGATTAGTTAGCGCTGACTTTGTACTTACGGGGGGGAGGGGGTGTTGTTTTATCAACTTTACATTTTCAAATAAAATTAAAAGCCATTTTTCAAGCTTACTTGAAATTGCATCGTTACATGAACTGGTGCAGAACCTTTGAGATAACATTGCTGAGCACTGCGAAGTGAGTGTGGCTTTCATCTTTTCATCCAGCAAAGCCTCGCCTTAGAAAAGAACATGACTCATTTTCTGTTCCAAGCAGTATATCAAGTTTTTTCCCTTTTAAATTATCAATTCCATGCCGCTTGTTACCTCCAGCGTAGCAAACTGATCTTACACATCGTCAAAGTTGTGAATAGTATTACATATTAAGATTAACTGTCTGACGTCGATTACGATAGCCTCTCGGAGTTCTTGCCTTGCCCTACATTGCTCTAGTAACCAGAGCTCGTCATGGAATTGAGTAATAGAGCTCACCCATGCTATTAATTAATACGCGTGGCTTGAGCCTTTTCTTGGATAAGCAAATCAAAGTTCTTCAATATATTAACCTTTTCTCGCCGGTTGGCTGAGATTTTCAACTCTTTTCCCGAGATTAGTGAGTACATTTTTTTATAATATGAAATGTCACTGTCGCTCACTATGTGACTCATGAGCAAACTTTTGTAAAACGGGTTTAAGAAGGTAAAATAGATTTTCTCACAACCATTAGTCTCTCAAAAATGACGA